GAGATCTGCCCTGGCCCCTTCCGGGGATCTGCCAGCCCCGCCGTTAACCCCACGGGCCCAGGGCCTGCAGGCAGAGCTGGGACTGCCCTGCCACAGGCCAGACCCCCGTCCCCTGCACCACCACTGTGCAAAGCCACTTTTGTGCCTTTCCACAAAGTTCTGAGCGGGGTCGATCCCTCCACCGGTGGCAGGGAGAGCAGGAGCGGGCTGGGGGGACTGGGAGCCGCAGGGGCTGTGCGCAAGCACTTCTCGTACAAGGTCTGCACGCATTTGTTAAGAGAGGTCCCCAGTTTCACGCTGGTGGGACTCAGACACCGTCCAGCTCCGTCATTCCTGCCTAACGGCATCTTAGTAGGTCCTAGAGGATCGCGTGAGCTGGAGCCCAGCACCACCCTCCCTACCCCCAGAGGAACGTGGCTGGAGCACGTACCTTCTGCCTGCCTGTAGCAGGGGCTCAGGTTCTTCACACCCAGGCAGCAGGGACCAGACATCTGCTCCTCACACAGGAATCTGCCGGGCGCCGCCGTGGTTGGGAACATTGCTCGCTCGCCCGAGAAGTTCTGAGTCCTCAGGAAGACTTGGAGGATAGAGGAGAACCAGTCTGAGCGAAGGCTTGGCTTGCTTCCCCAGCACGTCCTCAGCCGTGCGGTATGTCTGCCAGCGAGGAGCCGGGAGCCGGCAGCTCCCTGGTGTGCTGCTGGATGCCAACGTGCCCCAAGCCCAGCCACCAAACCTGCTGCCCCCTTCCCTCACCGGTCCGACGGTCCTGCCCTGCAAAGAGCCACTCCACCTCAGCCTGCCCCCGAGTGACCCCAGCGAGAGATCGCCAGTTCTGGCTGCGAATCGGCATTCTGCTCCTCCTAATTATGGTACTAAGGAGGAGGGAGGCTCCTCTGTGTCTTTGAGCAGGCAAAGCACAAGAGGGGTCCTGCAGGTGTAAAAAGCAGGATGAGGTGCTTATTTTGTACAAGCAGAGGAACGTTTGGGTCACCGTATGCTGCAAGAGCAGCAGCGTGAGGGGCAACGCTCTACACAGCGAGGAGGGGCCACAGGCACGTGTGAGCAGCAAAGGGAGAAGGAAGAGGAGCACTGCAGGCACTGACTCACCTCGCTGACACTGGCTCTTCCAAAAGCGCTTGCAGTAGATGATGGAGAGTGCCAGAAGCACCAGTACGATGATGACCAGGGCACTGCTGGTCAGTGCAAGAAGGGCTGTGTCCTGCGGCGGCACGGTCGGGACGGCTACTTTCACCAGGCTTGGTCTGGACCGACCTGCAAACACACCA